AGAGCTGAGTTTGTGTTTTATGAAAGTACAAATAATGTGACTGCTTTTAAGAAGAAGTGGTGTGTTAATGCAGACTTTGTTTCCGTTCAAACAGGTGTGCTACATGTGAACTGGTGATTGTGCCTGTGTTATTAATGTATAAATAAAGGGGGGTTAAAAGTAAAAAAAAAGTCTCTGTGGGCAATAAATCTGCAAAATAACAAAAACACAAATTCACTGCTAAACTGAACCACCATATGCTGGCAGAGCAGCTTTAGTGCACTTCGGGATAGAATCCACTGTCGGAGGTATTCAACACCATTAATCCATGAGGAGACATGATGTTAAACAGGTGCTGCGTTGGAATCTCCACAACACTTGCTTTACATTGTTTTGATGATACTTAATTTGGCCATTTGTCTGAGTGCCAGCATCATGTGTACAGAGTCCTACCCCACAGAGCCACAGACTCCTTCATTCAGGAACAACTTGTGCCTGGTAGATATGCCCATGGCTGAATTAAGGTCCCTGGGCATCAATAAAATAATACCTCACCCCCCTGGCCTTGAACCTGCAGCAGCTATATTGTTGGCTAATTCCTGACTGTTGACATCTGAATGTGTGGTATCTACACTAGCAGTGTCATTGTCAGTTTCTCGTCCTGATTTGACTTTTGGAAAAACACATTTCTGCAACATTAAGCAATTCAGCATCTCTAGCTCTTTTTTTTCTTTTTCATGTCCCAGTGGGCTCTAGGATTATAGCAAGATCCATTTTGATTCTGCAAATCCCTTTGTCCACCCACAGCTTTATTTTCTGTAGGCAAGTGACTGTAAACATCTACCAATATTTAATAGGTTGATTACTGCACTCTTCCTCCAATTAAACTTTCTTATCAGGCATATTCATAGTCCCCTTGACACACAGGGTCCCTGGGTCCTTGCTGAGGTTTCCCACATGGTAGATCTGGCCACGGATAGGACATTGTTATTTTGGATGAACCCAGTCCCATTGGGATGGAAGTGCTTTGCTAAAGCATAAACGTGATCACTCAGAGTGGATTTGCATTTGTTGCCATTTACCATAAGAGTTAACTTAAAGTACTTAAATGCCCCATACCTCAGATACAGAGACGCAAAGCAGCAAAACCTATAAGTTTGTTTTGGCATTCACAACGTATGCACCCGTTTCCTTGTGGAGACCATAGTGAACAATGACTCCTCAGATTATATGACTTTTTCCACTGCACAGTAGGCCACTGTCTGTTCTTTGCACCAGATTACTCACCAAGTGCATTTTAAGTGAATAAGGGGTTTATGTACTGCCAAAGGACTGTGGAATGCATATTACTGAGAAGTCTGGCCGATTATGTCTGATGATTCCACCTGTTCACACCTTTGACCGACATTTGCAGTGATGATTCATAGTGGCTTATTTGTTTATCCCTGCATCTCAAAGCAATGCACAGATGTTAAACTTGAGGAGTGTGTGCTTTAGTCTGTAATCGGCCCTAGCTGTGGATGTCTTTCCCACAGACTTCGACTCTGAAATCACTTTAGACATTGTTTATCGGGGAAACATTAGCCAGCTCAACAAGCTTGGTCACTTCAGTTCCTGAACCACATATCTGCACTGAGCTCTTCTTTAAGTCATGGTAGCTACACTAAAAGGCAGCTTGCCTCTCTAGCCTTTTTACGTCTGTAAGCATGATGGGGTGTCAACTGTTTATTTTGCTAAGGAACCACCCTAATGTGGAAGAACCTGCATTCAATATACTTTGTATCCCTCATTTACCAAATTGCTTCCATTATCCTTCATTATACACAGACATTTTGCTCTTGCTACAGTTGTCAGTTAGGTTGCTCATTCCTTATTATTCATATAATCCAATTTTGTCCGTGAAAGGAATCAACACCAACCTGTCCTACCACTGTCATATTTTCTTTTCTCTTTCAATTCTGAATGAAAGGACTGGTGCTGTAGATCACATTATCGGTGAGTAATGGTAAGGCAATATTTTGTTTTTCAAATGTAAAATAGGAATGGATAAATGGGGGGTGCAGAGTTTTTTTTTAATTTAATTTCATCCTGCTCTCCTGTTCTGTTGTAGCATGTTGCAGTTTTTTGAAACTCTTTTCTTGCTCTTATATTAAGAACTTGCAAAACTGTAATGTGAATAGTTAAGGATAGATTCCACAGGATTCACAGACAAACAGCAGATGACGTTTGCTACAGGCACCAAGTAAAGCCGAAAAAAAAAACCGCCACCCAACTGGCCTGACCCGTGTAGGAATACATGGAGCGCACTAACCTGACCCGCGTAGGAATACATGGAGCGCACTAACCTGACCCGCGTAAGAATACACGGAGCGCACTAACCTGACCCGCGTAAGAATACACAGAGCGCTCACACCTGACCCGCGTAGGAATACACGGAGTGCTCACACCTGAAACAACCAGGTACTGCCTGTGTAATCCTGCTGGTGTGTGGTATACTGTTGTTCCGCATTTGTTAACTTTTATCATAAAAAACGCTAATTCCATGACCCAAACATGTCTAAGAGTCCTAGTTAAAAAAAAGTCACACATTAAGTGCAAAAGAAAGCTGTAAGTATTGATCAGAAGCCTGAAATATTAAAGCGGTTTAAACGGAATGAGAGGACATGTGGTATGGTTAAGTACCATATTTATTGTATGATTTATCTACTTATTAGACATTTATCATTTATAACACTGATATGATTAGTTTCAGGTTCCCTTGTGTTTCTTAAGGAGTTTTTGAGTGTTTTGTCCCTAACCTCATTTTTCCCATAATCCCTATTGTTTCTATAGCGCCCCCCCCCATGGTACAGGTTTTCTAACTTTAAGACATGCGGTATTGATTAGTTGTTCATATTTCATTTAAAACTTTTTGCTGCATTTAATTCTTCTTTAGCTATAGCTCATCAATATGGAGTTCTGTTCAAGTGTAGATAGATAACAATACAGTATCTAAAAATAATTGTAAAATTCATAATATAACACGCATTTAATAATTGTATCGCCTTTTACTGCCTTGCATGTTGCTGTTTTATAAGTTTCGTTTTATTAATCATTCTTAGTTGTCCTTTTGATATTAATATATTTAGATTCTGTCATTGTTTAATCTTACTGCCATTGTACTCCCTAACCAGGTCACTTTGGTAATTAATCATATATTTGGTAGCATGACTTTTGTTATAAGTGTCGCCTTTTCACATAGAGACGGTACTGTACAAAAGTCTTAGGCATTTTAGGGAAAAAATTTGAAAAAAATGCTGTGAGGATGCTTTGAAAAATAATTCTATGAATAGGTTTAATTTATCCATTAACAACATAAAATGTAGGTAAACAAACAAAAACTTAAATCAAATTAATATTTGGTGCAACCAACCTTTGCCTTTAAAACGGCATCAGTACATTTGCACATTATTAAATATTTTGTAGGCATATAGTCCAGTGCATGATTAAATAATTATACAAAACAGATTACTGATCAACAATAAAATAAAATACAATCATTAACTGAAACAGAAACAGCTGTGAAGGAGGAATGAAACAGCCATAAGAAGGTGAGGTTGCTGAAGACAGTTTAGGCAACACCGTGCACAGCAACCAGACACGTTCTGGTCTTACTGCATTGGCTTGGTTTCTCGCAGGTAAAAATTAAATCAAACCGGTGTTTCCACATGTGCTGACCAAGCTCTTCTGCAGAAGCACAAAGAAACCGGCAACGTTCAGGACCAAAAGCGCAGTGATCAAAGAAGGAAATTAGTGCAGCAGATTAAAGACACATGCTGCTGGCTTCCTTTCGCAAGTAAGAGATGTACATAGAAGTCTGGTCAGAAGTGGTCTTCGTAGAAGATTTGCAGCTAAAAAGCTAAACCTCTGATATGGAAAGAAGGTAAGTAACTCAGCTATGCACAAAACCCCGGAACTCGGATACAGAAAATGGCTGCAGGTATGAACTGATGAGTAAAGATTTGATATATTTAGCCACAACAGAAGGCAGTTTATTTCCTGAATGGCTGGAAAGCAGTACAAGAATGAGACTGGCAACAGTTAAGTGTGGTGGAGGTTCTTTGCAGGTTTGGGGCTGCAGTACTGCAGATGGGGTTGGGATTTTCCATCCGTACATTTTCTGCAACCACTTGTCCTATTCAAGGTTGCAGGGGGTCCAGAG